ACGACTGGTTAAATAGGTCCATCTAACCCAGCAGTGCAGACTGCTGCTCCTAATTCAAAGGCAAGCAGAACTGGAGTTTCACGCCATTAAACAGGAGAACTAGTTCAAATATTAAGAAAGGGGAGAAAGATGGTGTTATCTTCTAGGAACATAGGAATGCCACATTGGATCAGACCCAAGGTCCACCTAATCCAGTATCCTGTCTCTGACAAAAGCCAACGCCAGATGGTTCAGAGGAAGGTATAAAAAATGTCTCAGACAGATGTGGGACGACCTATTTTCCTCCTCCATCCCGTTAGATTTCATCCTCATTTCTAATCGTTACAGATTTGCTAATAAAGGGGAATTAATACTTAAGACTACATCTTATATACTCAATGAAAAAAGAGAATATTATATGTATAAAAGCTGGACTAGGCAATGCAGTATGTTGATGGCTCAGGTTTCCATCTCTGGAAAGTTTCAGAAGTTATTTGCTTCAATTAAGTCCCCATTTTGGGAATTACCATCATCCTCCAGTGATGGACATATTAGAAATCCATGTAATAAAAATAATTTGTCCATATAAATGTCACATGACGACACGGACCATGACCGGCAGTTTCTGCTCATGAGAGGTTGCACAGCTGAAGAGCAGGCGAGATAGAAACTAGGACTCAAGCCCTGGCAGAGCTGAATGAGGTTAGCTTGAACCGCACAAGCATGCATTGTGCCTGGCTTGTCAGTGCTATTAATCAGCCCCATTCATAAGCACTAAAACTCCCAACATTCCCATCCCCCTTTGCCAATCAAAATCGTGATCTAATTATTACAAACACGTTTGTGTAACTTCAGCACTTTTGTCAGTCTGAATAATGCACGTTAACCTTCACATGAGTTAAATATGTTTAAACAATGAAACAAGCTTTAAAAAACTCTCAGGTTGTTAACTTGACACCACACTAGGAGGGGGAACCAGTTAGATCGTAGAGTTCAGCATGCTTTATATAACACATGCATATGTCCAGGTTGAGACCAAATATTGAAGATTAAATGTTTAAATCTGTTTTACCAGTTTGCTTAGGCTGAATACTTGAGCAAGAAGCTGTTTGTGCATTTCTTTGCTTGGTAGGAGAGTTGGAAGAAAGCTACCCCCATCCCATCCTATTCAATTCAGCATTAGATAGCTCACATGGTGCACAGAGTTTATCACTAGATATAAAGTGCAAAATGGATATTAAAGGATATCTAATTGGTTGTGGGGGTTTTTTTAATTAAAACTAGCTCCGTGGGGATTCCTGCCATTCCTGACAGTCATTAGGGAAACTTAAGCTGCTAAAGTAGCAGCCATTCTATTTTAAGCTTAATCTAAAGCAGGTGCTTGTTCCCATACCCAATTAGGCCAGTCTTTAATGTTTAGTTTATGGAAAAGCAATCCTCCTTGTGCTGTCTGTAGTGGATATAATTTATTACAACTGCCTTTTTCAATGCAATAATATACATTTTGCATGAATATATTGCTCTTTCAAAGATTACAATGACTTCTTACAACATCCTTGCAAGGTAAATTTTAATGTACATTTTCCAAATGCGGAAACTAGGTACGGAGAGGTTAAGTGACTTGGCCAAGGTCACTCAGGGAGTCAGAAACCTGTCCCTATCAGCAATGGGGAGAGGACGAGATTTACAAGCAAATTCCCTGACAAACTCTACTAAAGAGACAGCTTCTCTCTTTGGAGAACCACTCAGGAGCAGTAAACTAGGAATCACCTGATGAACCAGGCTCCCAATCAGTCCAGGACTCCCACTCCTTTCCCAACCCATGCCAGGTCCAGGACCTGGGCTGGAAGGTGAAGAGAAAGTTAGGTCAGATGAGAGAGACTCCCCAGCTAGTCCAACAAATGCAAATTGGCGTGGCAACAGCACAGACCAAACATGATTCTAAAACCAGCATATCCCATTCTGTAGGCCTCCCCCGAGTGGGGAGCCGGCTGAGGATCTCTGTGAAAAACAGCACTAGGGAGAGAAAATGAGCAATGGACCATGGAGAAAATGTCTGATACTGGATGTACCTGGTGGATTCTGACTGATCCACTTCTTGTCTTGGAGAAAAAAAAATACGTAATAAGTAGAGGGGAAAGCTTATTCACTTGGAAAGCCTAAATTGTCAGAGAAGCCTATCTGCAAGAATTGATGCTCATGTAGAAGAGTATGACGTTGTATAGTTATAGGGAGCCAAAGTGAAGTGAGACTGTCAGGTGAAATTTCAAAACAGGATGAATTTCAGTTTTTCCAAGTATTTTCACTCAATATCATTGTGAAATAAATTATTCTCTGAATAGAAACTGGAACTGTTAAATTTGTAGATTGAATTCAGTTATTGAACTGTGAAAGGGGGATTTTAATCCCACTGCAAATGAAAAGCTCAACATAATTGCAGCTATGGAGTTGCTTCCAATGCCTCCATAATATTGGTTAAATAGATGGATACTTGAGGTAAAACCCCAGCTCCAAAAAAAGTCAATGGCAAAACTCCCATCAATAGAGCCCTGTGTGGATACACAAATGTGTATCTAGATCCGATCCACTATCCACAAAAATTATCTGTGGAGTTGTAGGGCTCTACACTAGGGGCTGGGCTGAGGCTCCAAGTCATCCCCCCCCTCTCCCGAGTCCAGTCAGGGAGAGCCATGTGGGGAGCCTGGATGGAGTCTCAGACTCTCCACCTGCCCTCAGCAGGGTGAGGAGCTTGGGGGGGGTGGGGGGAAAACACAGCTGGGGCTGCTCTCAGCACCCTCCCCCCACCCCACTGCGAGCAGATGGAGGGTCCGCCGCGGCTCCCCACAGCTCCCTGGCTGGGCTCCATGCTGGCCTGCCGTGGGGGAGACCTGTGGAGCTGCCCAGAGGCTACTCAGGCCCCCTGCCCAGGGCAGGTGGAGGGTCTGCTGTGGCTCCCCACAGCTACCCATCTGGCTGTTACCGTCGCTGGGCTGGAGCCAGGTCGGGAAGAGCTGTGCTGGCAGCTGTGCGGAGCTGGGGTAGACCCTCCACTTGCCCTGGGCAGCTCGACAGGTCTCCCCCAGGCCAGGCCAGAATGGAGCCCAGCCAGGGTCCCTGCCCCAACCCCACCTCACCCAGCGTTCCTGCCCCTCAGCCCCTGCCAAATGTCCCTGCCCCCCCAGCCCAGGGCAGGTGGAGGAACCCAGGCTCCCCACAGCTGCCAGTGTGGCTCTCCCTGACCCAGCTCTGGCTGGGGAAGGGGATGGCTCGGAGCACAGCCTGGTCATGGTAAGAGCCGGGTGGGTAGGTGTGCAGAGCCACAGCGGACCCTCCACCTGCCCTGGAAAGGGGGGCCCTCCCAGCCCCTGGCCCATGTTCCTGCCTCCCAGGGCAGGTGGAGGGACCCAGGCTCCCCACAACTGCCAGTGCGGCTCCCCCCGATCCAGCTCCAGCTGGGGGGCAGGCGGCTTGGAACTGCAGCCCAGCCACTGTAAGAGCCAGGCAGGCAGATGTGGGGAGCTGCGGTGGATCCTCCACCTGCCCTAGGCATGGGGCTCAAGCAGCTCCCTGCCCAGTGTCCCTGCTTCCCAGGATCCCTGCCCAGGGCAGGTGGAGGATCTGTGCCGTGGTTCCTCACAGCTGCCCACTTGGCTCTTACCATCAAAGCCCTGCGTGGATACAAAATTTGTATGCACAGAAATGGTCCATGGATATCCACATCCATGGATATAAAGCAGATACCCATGGATGTGCAGGGCTCTACCCTTGCTTCCCATGCTTATTTTATTTTGATAGTTTCTTTGCCAAACCATGTGATAATGTAGCTATAAATATTAAGCATTATCCCCTAGGACTACTACATATAGTAAAAAGGTGTGTTTGAACACACATTCATTTGTTGTCGAAGCAGGATTAGATTGCAGATAAATTGTCAATTTCTGAATTGTACCACACTGAACTCAACATTTGTGCTTACATAATAAATGAAAAGAATGAAGAGGAAAAAAAAATACAGAACAGGAAGAACAAAGCTAATTGCTAACGCACCCACATTTTATATATATATGTTTAAGTACTTCCTTGAAACTCAACTAAACCTCAACTTGACTTGATTAGAATATTAATTGTATGTATCCTAAGTGTTAACATATTTGGACAACTGAAATGCTTATGTATGTTTCATGACAAATTCCCATGGAAATAATGCTATCAAAATAATTTCAAAATATTAGTTGCATTCTACACACATGAATCAGAAAGACCACGTAGACAAGCATAAACAAATCTAAACTTCCAATTAATTATTGCTGATCATAAAGGAAGGCACTTTTCAAAATAAATTACAAGGCTAATTAATTGCTGTCACACAGAAAAGTAACAATGTAACATCGTTGTGCAGTAGCTTTAAAAGCCTACTACTTACTGTAATTTTAGCTTGGTTAGTTTGAACAAAGGCTATAACATTTAAAAAAAAAAAAAAACTAAAGTTTCCAGCTTTTATTTTGATCACTTTAGGTATTATTGGATAACAGCATCGAGTATTGTTAGACACTGAATAATTGGAAGTGGAAAGTTAACATTTAAAAAGGCCTGCTAAATTTCAAATAAGGTTAAAAAAAGGGCTCAGAGGAAGGCATATGACAATCAAAGATGACTAACATCTAAAAGTTGCTCTATTCAAGCACTGACATATGCTATGTAGGCTACCAGGAACCTTTATGGTCATATGACAAAACCAACCACTTACTTCAGTCAAAGTTACAGGGACAGACTTGATCAAAATAAGAGCAAGTCGCTGTGCCTTGCTGTACATGCACATAGTATCACTCAGTTCTACATAGGCAATGCAGTTCTGACTTGGACTTGAATTGGACTGGCTAACATGTTCAGTTCCTGTTAGAAGCTTTAGGATAGGAATCAAGAAACATGGATTATAGACGTTTTGGAAGCAGCACATGTCAGTAACCTGCAACGCAAGAGTGCAAAGAAAGATTACCACTGCGTTTGAAGACACAAAGGGCCCAAATTTAAAATGGTCTTTATTAATGCACGCCCCCAAAGTTTGCAAGTGCATCTCTTTATCCACATAAAAGAATGCACACATCTGGGTGAGCATTTGCACATGTAATTACACTATTTTGCTGGGCAAACATTTGAACTCAGAGATTGAGAGCACTTCTTTTGGGATGTCTGCAATTTAGTCCACAGCTTTTTAAATAAATGTGGTCCGATTCATCATCTAATTATTAAAGAAGAATAATCAAAACACTCTTCCATACTCTTGCAAAATGATTCCAAGAAGAAACTGAAGGACTCATTGAAATGTATAGATTGGACTTCCATAGTCTAGCCTGTCTAGAGTAAAAAGGAAAAAGGGGTGAAATTAGCAGCCATAGTGTGGTAAGAAGGCTTGCAGTTTCTAAAGAGTAGCTGGGAAATAACATTTAAATAAAATAGATTTCAGAAGTCAATATTTCCATACCTGGCACTATACAGTATCTGTAAACTTCCCCCTTAAATCAAAACTACTATCTGGCACAGACATCATTTAAAACATGTAAAAGTTTTCCATACATCTGGACTTTTTATATTAAAAACAAAGCAGATGGGCTAAAGGCAGTTTTCTTTGCACAGTCGCAAATAAAAAATTTTTAAAAACTGAGTTTGATATTGATTTCTCCAAGGAGTCCTCGGTAGAATTCTTCTCTCTTCCACCCAAACCTTGAGTCAGAATCACCAATCTTTCAATGTGTTTAAACACACTGATATTCATTTTAATGTGCAAGGTTCATAAAACAGCTTTAACCAGATGAACTAAATGCTTCTCCAAAGTCTGAAAACATCAAAAGTTACGGTAATAAGTGTGTTCATATTTTTCAGTTGAGCTAAAAGGATTTGGATCCATTAATTTGTTTTAATTAAAGGCAAATTGCTGCTTAATGGTGTACAAAACCCAGCCTCAGTGCTACTTCAACTGCAAGGAAGAAAGCTCCAGCTCAAGTTTCAGCATGGTGTGATGCCATTATCCTCCACAGTTCTCCACCAAAAAGATGGAAGCCCAGACTTGGTATTTCTAATGTAAGAGGGGAAAAAAAGCTAGAACACTTTTGGGGGGAACAACAAACAATTTTGGTGCCTTCTTTAAAAATAATTTAGCAGTAAATAGCAAAACATTTCCCCCACCTCCATTCTCCTTTGAAATGGAACAGAAGACTATTGTAAAAGTTTTTACTTTATTTCTGAGATCATACTGAGCTTTCTGAATGACTCCATCCTGACATATGTTAATTCAAAGTGATCTCCAGCACCTTTAAGAGAGACGTGTACTGGTTTTGACTAGAGTCAAATTAGTTAATGTAAGAGAGGAAATATTGTGGGGGGGTTTATTGTTAGCAAGCAGTGTCAGAAAGTTACAAACATTAAATTTAGTCTTAACTAACACAAAGAGAAGTTCAATTACAACTGCAGCTAAAATTGTGTAGGTAATCATTCTACATCTAAAAGCATAGAAGGATATATTTACTAGTAAGCAGATTCTGCAATCCTAACTGGAACTGCAATCAAGAGTAAACTACTACTCAGTGTAACTAAGGATGGCAGAATCTGACCCCAAAGAATTATATTTTTTGTAAATAATCTTTTAAAGTAAGTCACATTACCAGACATGGATTTTGGCCATCTATTTCTTGTTTAACAATAGCTGAAAACAACCTAAGTACACAGGTTATTTACAAGTTTATAAACAATTTGCGAAGTGAATAATTCCAGATAATTAGATTACAATGAACATCCTGTATCAGAGTTACACAGAAAAAGCCTCAGGGAAGAAAAGCAGCAATGACTTTTACAATCATGCATACAATTGTTTCAGAAATAGTATGCTGTGTGAGTAATCCAATTGGAAGACTCTTCCTTCGAGCGTTTTGCTGAGCTGTGTGACGTAAAAATAGACTTGTATGCCTCTGATTTCTCCTCACTGTTGGCAATGGATCTCTTGGTGGTGCCAGCTGAAGCTTTACTGATTTTTTCTGATGCAGAAGAACTTTCATTAGCTTCTAGAGAAGAAACGAAAATTCAATTTCTCTAATTTGCAAATTTAAAAAGCCCCTAAGTTATTAAATCATTTTTGTACCTCTGGAAGATAAGTTTATTGATGGCTTGATTCAGAAATCTGACAGCTATGAATATCTTTCATGAATGTATGAGGTAGGTTCTAGTTTGTCATTTGTACCTCTTTCCGCACATACAAAATTGGCAACTAAATCTAGATACAGGAAAGTATGTCTCTCTCCACTCTGTGTGCATGTACACCCTCCCTTAGCCTTCTGCACTGCTTAACACAGTATTGACATCATTTACTCCTGTATGCAAAAAACAGAGCTCTGAACTCTTGTCTTAGCAAGTAAGTGTAGGAGGCTATTTTTCTTCAGCTACTGTTTTAGGATTAGTTGTTAAATGACAAAAGCTACAGTTGTGACATGTTTATCACTTGGGAATCTATCTATTCCCTTTATCATTGATGAAGTGAATGCCAGAATCATCATTTATAAACTGAAGAACTCAGCCCTTCTTTGGGGAGAGGCAGGGATCAGACACTTTTATAATGAAAATACTCTGATTACTACACAAAAGCACTACTGCTCATCATATAACTATCTCTGGATTCATCAAACAGATAACTTTCTCTTCAGAAAATGTTGTCTTCTCTTACTGTAACTTACATGATTTTGAGTCTCATTTCTAAACTCTGACCTTTACAATGTGCTCATTTTTATAGCTCTGGATAAAAAAAATCAATATGAATTAGAGACATTAAATTTTGTCATATTACCTAAAGTCATACTGCTACTCTTAGTCTGGACTAATGGGTAGCCAAGTGTAATCTTAACTGCATGACTGCTGCTGAATATATTAGGTATGTCCTGAAGTTACTCTCCAGTGTTCTGATATGTAACAGAACAGCAATCAAGTTATTAAAATATCCAAAACTGATTAGTTTCGTTTGAAAGGAATGTCAAAAGAGACTTGTCCTTCTTCAGATTTAATGGGAAATAACAATTTTTCTGCAAAAGTTATAAACTCCTCCCCAACACTACCAACCTTGCAAACTTAGATGGGCAAGAATATTTATTTTTACCAAGTTAAATCCTATAAAAACTGGAATTGGTAATGAAAACCATAAGGTGACCCTGTCTTATTTTACACTAAATCCTCTATGATGCATTGAACAAATCTCTCACAGGGTCATATATGGGGGGGAGGAGAGGGGGATAACACTACTTTTAGCATAGCTGACGCTTTTATGGTTTGAGAGGAAATAGTAAACAATCTTCTTCAACTCCTAAATAATGGTATTAACACCACAAAGTGGAACCGATTAAGATACAATTGGTAAAACAGACACACAAAAGAAAATATGGATGATATTAAGGACCCAATTGTCAGACCCAGGCTTCTGGGTGTGCATGCAAACATTGGACTGCACTCTGCCCACACGCTTGTGCATTTGGAAAGTTTTAACACCTCCATGTGTGCACAAATATTAGAATTTTACCTCCTACTGGGCTTTATAAGGACAAATTCTCTAACACTCTGCACGTGCTTACATTAGAATTTTCAAGCATGTTTGCAACACGTGGTTGCATGGGTATGTATGAGCCATTTTGAGCACACACCAAGGGAGGCAGGGTAAAAGCCTGGTCAAAAATTTGGCCCCAAATAGCTTACAAAGAATCTCTAAAAATATCTGAACACAGGAAAACGGTTTATGAAAATTTTCCCAGTTAAACTGAAACAAAACACCAACCTGCACTCTTTGTGAAGACGATCTGTTTCCTTTCTCCAGAATTAGTGTTCATACCATCTTTCGCAGTCTTTACTTCTGATGGTCCTGGAGAATCTGCAGAAAAGGAAAAAAAAAAAAAAGCAAAAGCATAAGCTGGTTAAATTACTCAGAAGGTAAATGTAAGTTATAGTTGTGACGACGTTACCTTCAGTGGTGTCTTGTTGAGAGACTGATTCCGCTGCCTTACATTTCTTTGATTTCTGAAACAATATAAGCAGAAAACAGGTTACATTTAGAATCTCCATACTGGATATCAAATCAAGTGTGCATTTGATAGAAATTCAAGTCCCTTTGCTATGCTTATGTTTTTTCTACAATGAACTTGTTTCTTTCCATACAGCTGCTTTATGCTTTTCTTACTATTTTAGTATAGAAAATAATATTTGATTAGCTTGGAGGCATCTCAAATAACAACACATAGGTTGAAACTAAGCTGCCTAGAAGCAGTTTTTTTTCTTATTTGGTTTCATCTTTTTACTAATAAAATTAGTCTTTGTATTTTTTTTAAAATGACCAGCTCTTCGGTAATTTTATTGACTAGCATTGAAACTATTTGGTGAGATACTACAGCTGTGCTCAATTGTAATGAATAATGGCATTTCTGAACAAAAGAAACTTCAGCATAAACAAATAATTGGAATCCTTACTATAATTCAATCTTTATTTTTCTCAGTTAATCTTGGTTTTAGCTGCTTTATATTTCCTAGTTTTATGAAGGCATTCCTTCTTATATGGATACTCACTTGAAAAACAAAGCTTAGTAGAACAGTTCATTTTAATTTCTTAGAAGGCTGAAAAAATATCAGTTCAATAGCATCTCTTGGCAAGATTTTCAAAGCCCACTTTTGTATGTGCTCAGATAAAAAAAATCTGTGTTAGACTATGTAAAAATACATTTAAAAAAACCGTATGAAAGTATCAGAGAAAAACAATGACAATATTTGATGTTTAAAGATTTGCAGATATTGTCAGCAACTGTAACTTTCTTCAAAGCGAAGAAATTTACTAACATTGCAAACAGATGACTAACCCCAATGAAGGTAAACGTTTAAAATATGTTGCTGAATCTATGAGCTTGCATACTGTCACAAGTATGATTTAATCTTAGGGGAAAAAGTGACCTAGCAAATGCTGCTCTTAGTCTTGTCCAGCAGGTGATGCTAAAAGACCACTATTATAAAGCCAGAAATAAATTACTCAGAAAGAAAGGGCATACTTGTGGCACCTTAGAGACTAAACTAATTTATTTGAGCATAAGCTTTCGTGAGCTACAGCTCACTTCATCGGAATACTCCTTTTCTTTTTGCGAATACAGACAAACATGGCTGCTACTCTGAAATAAATTACTGTGATTCCATCCGATGAAGTGAACTGTAGCTCACAAAAGCGTAGCTCAAATAAATTTGTTAGTCTCTAAGGTGCCACTAGTACTCCTTTTCTTTTTGTGAATACAGACTAACACGGCTGCTACTCTGAAATAAATTACTGTGATTTTCTTTGCAGTATGTGGATGTAAAGAGCACTCTTTTCACTATGCCTCCATCTTTGTGTTATGGACATGCAAGACACTGAAATTTACAAGAACGCTATCTGAGTGCTTCAGAAAACAGGATTTTTGTATATTTCAATAACCTGTCTGCTTCAAACACAGAACAGGCAGAGGGAAGGGATGATGTATCGGAAACGTCTTCGTTCATGGAAAAGGTCTGCACACTAAATCTGACAATGGATCACCTGACAACAATTGAGGCTTTCACATATTAGTTCTTCATCCAATAAGCAGACAGAATTAAACTTAACAGCTTACAACAAAAATTGCATTTTCAGGGTAGGTTTTAGCACAGAGTATTTCTTTAGCAGCCCAACTAACAAGCCTGTCACACTTGCCTGCTCTCCAGTTAATCCAGAGTCCAAAGTTCTTACTGACACCGGATAACCAGTTAGAGGTGTTGAACAGAAGAAGATGCAGCCCTAATAATATTTACTGATACTACTGAAACAACATGGATTTGGGTTTTTTTTGGTTTGAACAATGCAGAATATCTACAAAAAACTTGGCATAAGACACGTTTCTCTCTTCCACATCTCAATTTTAGTTCTTGAAATGATCAGGAAACTTCTCATTTCTGAAGATAGATGAGGAAGCACTGTTCTTGAAATGTAGACCAAAATAAGAGTTTTGTTCATTCAAATTTGCATATTTGGATGGTTGCTACCCAGCAATTCCAAAGACCAAGGAGGCTCCCCATTGAACCAAGGAGAAGCTGCAATGAGCACACAGTATTTAAATTAAATACTTCTTGTATAATATGCTACTTTAATTCAGTTTGACAAGGATAAGAACAAGATGCACTCTACCCACAGGAGAAAGGAACAGCAACCAAAGACCAAAATTAGATTGTAAGAGAAGTTATTACTCAGACTGAGTGAAAATAAGTTAAATGTAAAAACTAGTGCCAGTAAAATAAGTGTTCTTTCGTATGGCTTGAGTAGGTAGCAACAACTACAATTACTAAAAATGGTAATAGTTAGTTATTTTATTAAAACCTATTTATAAAAGACTACCATGAGCTTAAGAAATGAATATAAAACATATTGTAGAATGAAACTTGTATAGATCTTATAGGCAACCATCTGTTTTAAACAACTGTTCTAAAGGATTCTCAAATGTATCAACTACAATTCTGTTCCTGTGTTATTAGAAAACCATCTCTAAGAGGTCACTTAAAATGGGCTTCACCATAATATAAAAGCAAATGCAACTGAGGATAAGTGACACACAGAATAACTAATTAACACATTCCAATTACACATGGCTGGCCTCCAGCACAACAGCACTGAAGAAGCAATCCTATTACCCTGGTTGGAGAATTAATTTTGCATTCTGACATATTTTAGCTTTCTTTCCATTCAAAAGCTGACTCAAAACAGAAACAGCTGAAAAAAGCAAAACTACCCTGGGACTATTTCAAAATAAGTTGCTGCAGCAATTGAGACTCTTTAGGCCAACTATAATTCTTGACTATTTCATGAAACACAGTGAGGGGGAGTCTGCTGGAAGCTGGGTGGTGTTCTCAGCACATATTCAGGGTGGTGAGATAGTGTTTCGGACTGAGGGTAGGAGAGAGGTACAGGTGCAAGGAGGAGCAAGAATAAAGCAGTTCGTATTTCGAGGATCCTACCAGTTCTGTAGTTAAAGTTATAGAAGGATTTTGGCATGACCTTTTCATTTGGATTCATTCTTGGACTCTACTGACCACATATTACTCTCTTGAAAAGTCCTGAATTTGTGTACATATTGAATACAAATTTAGTCACTTCCTTGCTTCAGAACAACTACTCAAGTAGTAGCTAATCTGGTACAGAAGCCAATGTTTATTTCTCTCTGATTAATTTGCTAGATTATAAATTACTGAGGTGAGCAGAGAGAAAAGGTGGAGCTATTCTGAATAATACAAGAGTTTAAACTAAAATTATGGTAGAAAAAAAACACCCCAAAACTGTAATTTGGTCAGCAGATATGGGTAACAACTTGATGCTTGTGAAAAGTACCACAAAATCTAATGACAAGAAATTGGGACCTTGGTTTTACATCTCCACCAGCATGGCGCCCCAGGTACTGTGGAAAGGGATTGGTTTTGCACCAATTTAGAAAAACAGTGCCACCAACTGCACCACCAATTGCCAAAATACTAGGTCCAAATATTGGCCAAGACTGACACTACTTAGTTGGTGAGATCTGATGATACCAGAGCTTGAGATGGGCATGGCTATCAATGTCTGTTAGAGGCTCACCACCCTGAACAAAGTTACATATCCAGGTGGCTTTCTAAAACAGACTAGAATAATGAACTATAAAGTGATGCACACACTATCCACATACACAGGTGACTAGGAGAAATATTTTTCTTCCAGTAGCAGTGTCCCATGAGTGAGTCATGTACTTTTATTATGCACAATAAGGATCAATTAGAAGTAGTCTTTATGTTGAATATCTGCAAAGTATGTTTCAATATATTTCTATTGCATTTTTCCCCCAATTATCTTCATTATCCTTTGCATTGACATTACATTATGGTATGCCAAAGTGGCCGCCATACACTTGAATTGATGTTGGTTACTTTGGTCTTAAGCATAACAATATCTTTCCGGGACTTGGTCTGGAATAGACAGTGGAGATTACTGAATAAATCCCCTACACTTCAGAATAGTATGCAGAAAATCAAAATGTTTTGCACCTAAAATGCATTGTCTTGCTGCAGGAGAATGCTGTAGAGAAACAACTAATACTTTAAAAAAAATTGTTCTGGATAAAACTGAAGCATTCAGATCAGTGGGTCCAACGTGAACTAAAAAGAGACTTACCAGCAAGAAATAAAATCTGGATAGCTTAGAATGAATGTGGAAGAATCTCTGTTTCTACAAATTGAACTTTCACCTATGAGATCTATTCATAAAAGATCTCATTACACACACACACACACAACTTCCTAGCATTTTTAAGTCTCTGTAAAATCATTACCTTTCCCACTTTACTCTTAAGCCTTCTCTCCTCCATTCTTTTCTTCAGCACTTCCACATCGTCTTTATTACCATTAAGTATAATCACATCAACATCTTGAAAGGGAACACCACACTTGAATAGAAAACAATGAAACAAAACATAACTTTTCAAGATTGGAAACAGATGTTTATGCTTGATGGATCTTTGTTTTAAAAGTACAGTTTTTTTTGAACACTCTTCAAAGAACTGCCACATCCTTATCTTTCCTTCCCTCTGCCTTTCCATTTTCATTTTCGCTCCCCATTTTTCTCAGTGTATATTTCTCTATTTTTAGACACTGATCAGAAACTGCAGCAGAAATGGCATTATACTATGGTCTTGCACAGAAGTGCTCCCACTCATGAGGGTGACTAAGGAATGAAAACTACAGTTAGCACTGGTAAAGCATCTGCATGGGAGCCCAATGTGATTCCATTTTGTAGCAGCTAACTGTGCAGGTTGCCTCATACTTGTCAACTAGGAAAATGGAGGCATATCCATTAGTCCTCATGCTTGATGTTTGTTAAATACTGAAAGTTAAAAATTTGCACATATATTAACCCCAATTTAATCTAGACCAGTATCATGTATACATGTAAAGATGACATGCAAAGGGTTGTGCACTAATTTTGCTTCTTTCTGAGGTATAAATGAGGGCTGAAAAGAATTTTTTTAATGTTTTCCCCTTAAGCAATGGTGAATTTTTCAGACACCCTCTGTTTGTTAGGTGTTTGAGTTAAAACAAGTATAGTTTTGAACAGTGCAACCAAAAATTCCTCTTCTGTCAATTGTGCCAATATTCTCTCGGTACCTGTGTCAGAATCCTACTAGTTCTCCAGAGATTCGTAACATTTTCCACCAAAAAAAAAAAATCTAGACAATAACTGAATTTCTAATAGGAAACCAAAACGTCAAGCCCCCTTCATACCTCAAAGAAGAAAACAGAGCCTAAACATTTTTTTTGTTTTTAAAGCACTTTGAAGGTCCCCTTTAAAAAGGGTGAACATGGGTTTTAGGGTTTTTACCACACAAAAAGTCCTTGAGTCTTTCTTGTAAATAATCACATTGTGAGAGAGAAAGCTAAAAATAAAAGTGAGCAATTAGTGTCAAATCAGTTCAGAAAGTTAGTTTAAATCAGTGCAGCCCTCTTATCTAGGCACACTTATATTGGTTTAAGAGTGCCTTATATTGCTTTAGCTCAACTTAAACCTGCAAGTCTATCTCCATTCAGCACCAAGCCAAAACCGTGACTGGCTGACAGTATACAGATCGTTTGGAGGGGCAGCTCACTATTGTATCTAATTAAGAATACTCACACACACAAAACACATCTTGAAGTGAATTTTGTTTGTGTTTTGATAGGTTAAAACTTTGCTGTAGCATAAACAGATTACTTAATTAGCTTTTGGCACAAAAAGGGAGACAAGACATTTCCTAAGTTAAAAGGCAGTGCTCTAATGGAAAAAAAGGTTGTGATGGGAGTCCACTCTCCAATTTCCAAGAAATGTAAATGATTAATTGATTAGGTGGACAACCTTATTTTCAAATATGGTTAAGGATGTGTCTAGGGTTACATGTAATTACCAAAAAATCTTTTCATTTTTTTTTTTTAACATCAGCATTAATATATTTTGGAAAGTTAAGGAAATTAAATTTTCCTTTTTAAGGTGCCTGATGCATAGATTGAATTCAATCATCTACTACAACTGGGGTTAATTTTCTTGCCCCTCCAGCAGACTTAAAACGAAGGGGCAAGAAATTGCACGCAGCAGAACTGGCGACTGCACATGTGCAGATAATATACACTAAGTAGACCCAAACAAGCAGTAAGCACTACCGTGGTTGATTCATATCGCCTTACTGTGACACTGTTAGTACTGGTGTCACAGTAACCACCATTAACAGTTGGTGCTCCCTCCAAAAAGTCATTTGCTTCTGGATTCTGACCTTGCTGTCCGAAGTGTTTTCTTCACTTGGTGTGTACATGCAATGTACATAGAAATTAGTTCTTAATCTGGATTAATAAAGCCTTCAGCACAAAGGATAGTAATGGAAAAAACAACAGCAAGAGAGCCATAGTGGAAGGAATGTGATGCTATTGTACTAACTAGTAATTTGTCTTAACAGGACAATGAGATGATTTTAATGAATGTTTTATCACTTCTAAATTTCCATCATCTACCATAATTACAATTGCTTTTCCTGTAATAGAAACTAAACTAGAAAACAAAGTTGGCAGTATTCCTTTGTTCCATTACATCAATATGGGTAATTCTTATCTTACTTTTCCCCTCTTTTTTTCAATTGCTAAATCAAAAGGAGAAAATCTCTTTCAAAGTAGATGATCGGAAGTATTTTCTAAATACAAGAGACCATAAAACATAGCTATTAAACTATAGCCACCATGATTTCTAGTCAGTCGAAGGAAAAATTTCAGTATTTTGATCTATTGCAGAAACAACCATCCCACAAGTACATCCTTTCAAAGGGATAATAAATACTGATGATCTTAATGGTGAACCATGCACTTAAGATACATTAATTTCTTGTAAATGTAGTTATTTGTATCAATCTGCATAGCAAATTCTAAAAATATTCCAAGTGTATTAGAACATTCTGAATTTGTACAAAACCCTATTCCATGCAAAAAGGTACAGAAACTGCATAGTTACACCACTATTTCTCTCTTCCCAGTAGTAATCTTACCTGGATTTTTTTTTTTTTAATTAAATGGTACCATTGTACATTTTCTGTCCCAGTTGTAGATTTTTCTAACAGGTCCAGATTCTAAATTTTCTTGCATAATCCATTAAAGAGGAAATCAACTTCATTTTTTTCTACAAATGCAACTAACAAAAGCACACTGGCATTTTTCCGCTGACTTGTTGCCTGTGAATGTATTTAACTAATATTTTAAACTATGCCAATTCTGCTCTGAAATTTGTCTCTCTCAATGGGGCAATATTTTAAAGTGAATACTTCTGTGTATTGATCAGAAACAAGTATAAAGATATCACCCTTTCAGAGGTTTATTCCAGAGAGACTGATGGGCAATTTGCTTTCCACAATGGCATAGCTATCAAACTGCAATTTTTTTTGAAAGGCGGTTGTGTGGATAAAAGATGATAATGAAGGTAGTGGGACTTGTACAAGATGTTAGAGTTGATATAATTTCTATTTTCCTCCTCTTGTCTCTCAACTACTGCATTCCTGATCTACTCTATCCAATACATGTAAGACTAAGCACTTATACATTGCTTTACAACCCAAATGCCCTGTATGTACATTGACTAATCTCCATGAGGTACAAAGTTTTCTTCCATGCATTTTTCAACTTAATTCATAGAAAGAACACTTACTTACCCTACAATAAACAGTGGATGTTTGAAATGTTGAAGTAGCTTTGCGCAAGTTTGGAATCTTTTCTGAGTAAGTGTGTCAGAGCCATGCATGCACCCTGTGCTCCCATGCAAGGACATAAATGGCTGAGCAACCACGATCTTCCCTCAGTTCCCTCACAGTCTGAAGCCTGTGACTGCTGAGAACCATGAAAAGCAGGAACAGAAGATATAGTCAGACTAGATCCCATGACCCAACATCTCAAAGAATCACAACCGACTGTAGGGTCAGTAACTGGTTCTCAAGTATGTGTCAGTGTGGTCCAATTTTGGAGGGTTCTTGTCTTCCAGAGTAGTCTCAGATGAGCTGTCTTCTCCTGAACCATAAATATTACTAAAGATCCTGGATATATGTACAATTGTTAAAAACCTTTAGATGGTACTTGGTGGTAGTGCTTTTCTACTAACTTTGAAGGGGAGGGAAAACAAAACTGGAGTGTGCTACAACCCCTTTAGCTGGGTCTATTATGTCCTGATTGATTGGAAGGGCAATTATTGATGGTCCTGAGGATGTCAAACAGCTTATGCATGTTCTCTTGGATCACCATTGTCTTGATGTCCAAGGTTTCAGTTATCCTCATGAGCAAGTTCTGGAAGGCCTTAAAATCATTTCAAGCCAGTGTCAGGACTGATCTGACTGTCTCATCAGGAGAAGATAAAAATGCCTTTGGTAGGGAGGGCAAATGAAGTGTCTCCAGAACCACCTGTGCCTAAAACAAGGAGTTTCCTCTAGCTCAGGTGTGAGGAGCTTGGTATGGCCAGTGAACCTGTGGATGCAAGGGACTTTGTCTTCTTCCTTGAAACCTGAGATGGACATATCGGAAGGTGGGCCCCCCGTAAGGCCAATATGACTGAAGCGGCAAGTTATAAGAGTACTGGCCAGATTGCAGTTGACTAGTCCATTGTCAATCTTCCATTGGTGCATGGCATGGGATGTCTGGAACTCCCTAGAGGGCCCTTTTCTGATTGATGCGAGCAGGTTCCCTTCTTGATAGAGGGGAGAAGGTATAACTTGGAGATGACGAGAAGAAGTATGTCCATGAACAGTAGTGCCATTGGATGCAGGGCTGCTGCCTGCTCAGATGCAGATGTGAGAGGTAATGAGTCTCTCTACTGAGTTCTCTCTCTCTACTAGGAAAGGTCTGCTGATTGATGCCATTGTCTGTACTGGTGCTGGTCTTGATTGGTACCAGTGTCACTATTTCCTCCACTTTCTTTTCAGTCAGTACCTTGTTCCCTGGGCTCAACGTTGATGAATATTTTGAGCTTTCCTTGCAAGATGATTCCACTGCATGCTCAGAGCTGTGCTTATGCTCAGCACTTCTTGAAGTAGATGGCATATATTGCAGATCTCTAGAGTAAGTGCTGATGCACTCGGCACAAACGCTGACAATGCCGAGGGTTCTGGTGCTCTGTTCAGTTTCTGAGATCCTGGCACTGGTAGCAGTGGCTCGGGTGCCCTTTTAGAGGATTTCTTCTCCCCACTGGAACTGGGGTATACTGTCTGGTTACTGGAAAATTTGCCATGGATAGTCTCCTCTACTCTGACTTGGTAGATCTCTTCTCCAGGCTCAAACATTACTTTCATGGATTGCTCAAGTAGATGTAATTTGCGCCCTAGTGTCTCTCAATTTTCAGATGTGGGACAAGAAGGAATGGCAGATTGTTGGGGATGTGTGCTTCCCCGAGGCACAA